GAGTCTTGTCCAAGAACACAACACAATGTCCCCAGCCAGGGCTCGAACCCGGACCGCTCGCTCCGTAGTCGAGCGTACTAACCATAAGGCCACTGCGCCTCTGAATTTCTCATAGGTACTCATCTCTAAATTAAAACTTTTCTGTAAGGTATAATTAAAATGTATTGAATTGAATCCATTTTGTAAGTACTTTTGGACTGTAAACAACCGTTGCTATGTTGAAATATACTACCAGTGTGCACATTTCTTAATGTAAACGTAAATCAAGGGGTAATTAGAGCAAGATCGTTTTAAAATACGTTTTGCAAATGGTCACGGTGTCGAATCTTCACGTTTCGGAAAAATGGCTTTTTGGAGAACAATGTACATCTGAGAGCGAGAGCATAAGGCCCCCTTAAAAATCAAGAAAGTGTCGGATAATGTGTTGTTTTAGATTTGGTAACTCTTAGGGATGAAAAAATTTCAGCTTACGCTCACAAAACTGACATGCAATGTACCCTCAAAATATAAATTTCAAAATTTCCGACAAGCCCTCTCCCGTCCTTTTATATGGGATTCTCCCCGACCTTGGCCACAGCAGCTAACAGTGAGACCCGCGCAGTGAGATCATAACTAAATTTTCAGCAACCAAAAATGAGTTCAAATGTTGTTGTTCATGGTGTTTTTGTTGTTTATATGAGCTTAGCTACACCTAGTTAGTTTACAGGCATGCCACTTAAACTGAAAGAAACAAATATGTCATAAAAACATAATAGGCTTAAAAATCCCAACTGGGGGGAGGCAGAGCAGTTGGTTATTTACGAGCATGACCGAGGAGTTGAACTAGGGTCTACCCAGAAATAACTCCAGCTAAGTGTTGGTCAGAGGGTACTTGAACCGGAAACTACTCGGCCACGGTATGCGGCCGGTGCCTTTGAGAGAGATAAGATCTGATCCTTTCTAAACTTCTAAGATGACAGAAAGTAAATAAAATATCAACGAGTTTCCTCTTTTAGCAGATCTCGCCCACGTTCATCCCCCGCTAAGTTGTTTTTTTCAATCAGTTACGAAACCGCAAGAACTGAAGCATTTTTGTTTCTTTTTTTTCCCGCTTTTGTCACGCCGTGATCCACAAGTCAGATCACGCTTATATTTCACGTTATTCAGCGCTTTTATCTCACAGTGAGCTTGATCTCCAGTGTCAACAGGTCACGCACATCGTAAATGTCAGTGGGTCACGTAGAAGATGAACACGTGCAGCTTGCGAAAAATTCGAGGTCGTTCAAGGTCATATGTCGCTCACGTACGTGAGCGAAATTTCTTACTTTTCTCTGGGTCAAAAAGAACATGCCTCGAGTGCTCGAAGATGGTTCTTTGGATAATAAAAGCAGGAGGAAAGCGTACCTTCTAGTGAAATCCCGCTTTTTTGGCCTTGAGCATTTCCTCGGGCATCTAAAAAACCTCCCACGCACGCAGGTCGCGCGTGTCTCGCTCGCAAAACACAACATAACATGCGTTTCGTACTTACATAAAGTTATATAACACGGCAAAACAATGAGTTCTTTCATGCTAACTAGCGCTCTAAGCCTGTTTTCATGCGAGAGGCTGCACGCGATTTATTAATAACCCAATTTCTGAGCATTACATGCTCTTATCTACCTCCCCGCATAGAACGCTGACTGAAAAACTTCCCCGAAGCAGGTTCTTTGTTTGTTTCCTTACTTCTGGCATGCGCTTGTATGATGTACTGAAACACTGTTGGAGGTGTGTTCGTGGGTTTGGGAGGGGAAGAGGGTCATTAAGTTTTAACATGATTCATCAAGGCTCCTTCAGTTTCACGTGTAAAGTAATACTGTCAATACTGATACGCTCAAATTGTCATAAATCCGAAGAATGCCTTGCATGTGCTCCACTAACGTTTCGTGCAGGAACCAAATTCTAAAATTTGCCCAAACGTGTTCCTAAGCGACCGTATGAAGAGAAGAGAACACGCGTATTTTTGCCAGGGCCATTGTTAAGGAAAAACGAAATGCTGATTGAATTGTAACCCGGCTTTGATTGGGATGAATTTTTTTTTTTATATAAGAAGGCCTTATGTTTTGAGGGTACATTGCATGTCATACTATAATTACTATGCCCTATAATCAAGCTTACGTGGCCCTATTCTCCCAGAGGAGAGCTATAGGACTATGATGATGATGATGATAACGAGCCATTATTTTTGTTCTTCACGGTTTATATGTTAAGACAGTGAGATGTGCAGGGAACAATTATTCTCAGCGACGAGGATAACTTAGCCAAGTCCTGTACGAGTTCAAGAGTTGTTTTCCGGTCGACACTTGAAGAAAACTATTCTAGAATCCGATAGTCCTTTATGTCGAAGGTGTCTACTTGCTTGACCGCGGTCTTGACTGCATAGTATTTCCAGATCCTTTTAGCTCCTTTCAGGACACTACGTTCAGCCAAGACATCGCGGTTAAATAGAGACTGCGTGCTTGGAAGTATAGGTGTGCAGTTAAGTAATTCATACTTGAATGGTGATTTATATCTAGGTATACTGGATCTACTGAGAAAAGAGTCCGATAGAATATTTATGATCTTTTAGTAATATATGAAGCATGCGAGACAGTGTTTCACAACATTTCAGAACGTCGAGATGAAAGTTAAAAAATACCATGCGCAGATATGTTCGTAATTGTGTGAGAACAGTGTCAATATGATTGATATATCTTCTTAGTTCAAGGTAAACCTCAGGGAGACAACGGAGAAAAAATAGTAACTTATTGTTTATTAAATTTTTTTACTATTAAAAAATTAATTTTTTTTTAACATTGTTCATTATTATTTTACGAGTTTATTTTCGAAGAAACCCCGACCGTAATTTATAGTAGCCGAGGAGAAATTAATTCCGAGAGAGTTAACCTTTCATTTTCGAAGCCCATGGCCTATCACCTGATGATTTTTGTTCCGAGTTTTCATCTTTTAAGTTGATAGTTGTTTTAGAAGGGCTATTAGAATTATGTGCTTGTTGAAATAACTTTTTTCTATTTTGTATTTGCGGGTAATTCCCAAACATGTCTCTGAGGGCTTATATGTAGAGAGTTATTTGTTATTGATGGTTTTTACGTTTCCGAATGTGGTCTGCGCCCTAAAGGGAACACAAATAATAGGGAACAAAAAAGGGAAATTAAAAAGTAACTCACCAGAGGGCCCATCAAAGGTAACAAACAAAAAGGGCTGCAAAGGAACGCAAATGGGAATAGATGTAACCGAAATGGGAACAGAAAGGAGAAAACAAAAGGAAAGGCAAAAGGGTACATAAAATACAACTTTGCGTGCGAACAGCATTCAGTTTCTTAGCATACTGCAATAGGAACATGCTTGTACCAATTACTAGCTGGAAAGTATGGGGCTTATAATCAGAATGAAATAGATACATTAGATCTTCGGGAAGGGTTTAAATTGAAGTTCTAGATGACTTTCACTGATAGTTGGTCAAAATGGGAACTGTCAACTGGGAAATGTCACGTGTTTTAATCGATAGCTGCATGGGATATGAGATCTGCAAAATTTACTAACAGCTAAGTATTGGGCTGAAACTTTAATTGATATTGCCTAGTTATAGCCGAAAATGTAACTTACAACTGGGATTCCAGCTTCGCCATTCAGACCCTCTAAATGAGCTTTTATTCGGGGTTGGGATTGGGAAGAAGGGCTTATCACAGGACGGCTCTTGTGTCGGAGATTTGCTGGCATGGAGGACTCAGTTATTCTCCGCCCTTTGTCCTGGTGTAACCGTCTCACTGTTAAGTTGACGATAGTTTTTCAACTCTTTATGCTCTTGTGACAAAATTGTTATTGGAAGAATCTACGTTACACACGCTTTTAGATGTTTTATCGTGTTTGTTTCTCTTTATTAAGGTATTTTTTGAGAATGGGGGGTAATTCACCAAGGTTATGATACCATAGAAGAACTACAACAATGTGAAGAGAAAAGAAAACACAAGTCAAATGAGCATATTAATGAGAAAACTACTTTAATAGCAATATTATTACCACATAATTCACAAGAAATGGCTAGGAACGTATGTTCCACTTAGAGAAAAATTACAATCGCCCTCCTATAAAGCTAAATATAAAAATAGGTTTTCCTTTGGTCGTTATATCCTCCTGACTACAATACTGCAAACATTCCACTAGATTGAAAACACAATTGCACCGTGTATTGGGAATGAATGATTGTTATATATAAATATCACAAAATTCAGCTGTTAAATTATATCTTACACACGTTGGAAGCATTTATACAACGCAAAAGTGAACAAAATAAATACCAAAACTAAACAGGAACTACTTTCAGAATCGAGTTTGGAGACTACTTAAATTGAAGCCCACGAAATTCCTAAACTAGCAAGCGCAACATTTTACTATAGCTTTGAACGCTTAAAATGTGCAACAAACAAAAACTGTTTTTACAGCCTTGAAAAGAAACGCTCACGGTCATTTTCAATTTTCTACAAATTTCCTCGCACGAAAATTGAATAAATTGTTATTTCTAACTTGTCTGACAATAGAGTTTATGTCGATAGCAAAAATGTTAAATACGATTGATTTGAAGGACGGTATATTCTGCCTTGGTAATAGCGAGCAAGTGCAGGCAAAATCGATTGTCGTAAAAAGCTAAATAATAAACTTGCGGCCTGCCTAGTATTGTGTTATCGGCGAACAGGAAATTCTGTGGGCACAGATACGAACAACAATGTCGTAAAATTTCATTCCGTCTACAAATCTGGGAACCGATTAGGATCCTCCTGAGGAAAAAAAAAAGAACAAGACTTAAGTCACCTGCAGAGAAACAGCTGATCAATCCAGTGCTTAATAACACTGAAAATGACGCGGCAATAATACAAAATTGCGATACACTTTCAACAGACCATATTCGTATTCACGGTATTGGACTGGAACTAGCTTGCAACTGAGGCTAATGCAGGGAGTCTTCTCAAATGCAAATGACATGAGCCTCCATTGCAAGCTAGTGCCAGTCCAACACCTAGAATACCTAAATGGTCTATTCAGCTTCTCTTTACGCCAAAAATCTGACCCTCCCTCCCATCGACTCTACTAAGACAACGTTCTGTTAGCATTTAACGCAATCTTTCCTTGCACATGAAAGATTGCACGACGTTCCAAATGAACTGTCTGTTTGGGGCTCCCTCACCCTTCCCCTGAAAACAAATCCTTGAGAGCTTGACAAACCTTGTAATCTCGAGGTATAAAGAACATTGAAGAGGGAATGCTGTTACAGGATTTAAAGTCCTGGAACGTCACACGAGCTGTGATCGTTGGAAACACTGGTATCTCTGTTAAGTGAAATAAAAAGAGAATAACTATGTAAAAGATCAATGAAAATGTCTCTCTTGTATTTCATTTGTAGCCGTTCCGAGTGACCTCACGTAAGGAGAAACATTGCGTGACGACTAAAGAAACGTATGTGAAGGAAACTAACGACTGGCTAACTTCAATAAGTACAAGCCACACCAACCTATTCTGACGGGAAATCCAGCTGGAAGTTTCATTGCCACAAACTCTTTTAACTTGTTGAAATGCTTAAATGGAGCGACAACCTCTAGCACTTTAAGGATGCTATAAAAATGCAAGAAAACTGATTGGCAATCATCTTAGACGTATTTACACTGTAATATAATTAGCAAACATAGTGGAATCCCTTTAGAACGAGAAAAATCTGGGACGAGTCTCAACGCGCAGTCGTTTGAGAGATCTCGAGTTGATCTTCGTCCCAGAATTCTTCTCGCGTCCAAAGTAGCAAATTCAAGGGAAGATACACGTGCATAGAAAAACAAACTTACAGGTCAACAGAAAGAGGGAATTCTTCACTCTGTAAAAGTGTAATAAAGAAAAGAAAAAACAACAGTTAGCTCTATCGAGAACAGAGAGATCTATCGTTCCAGATCAAAAATAAGAAAAAAGATTAAACTAAAACAGATTTACCATCGCTACATGGGCTTTAACAGATTTCCTGTCTTCTTTAAGCACCATTGGTCGGCCTAATGGCGGCAATCTGTGAATGAAATGATACTTTTATTAACACCCACCATCCAATACAATTCAATGGTCTTACCACAAAAGTTTCACTTTGTAAGACAAAAAACTCTCATCTATTAAACCACTAGTTCAAAAGAAAAACACTCAACAAATATCACGAACCCATAAGAAATTTAGCAAGATTAACATTCGCCACTTATCAAAACGAGAAGAAACCCGAGGCGTCTCATCTCGCAGTGGCTTGTGGGATCGTTCCGAGACGAGAATCTTTACTGTCCTTAGTAACCATCCCACAAGCGACTGTGAGATAAGACTCGCCCCAAGACTCGCCCCAAATTTCTTCTTATTTCTAAAGTTAGGTGGTGAATGCGCTAGAATGGAAATTGATTACATGTAAAGGATGGCCAAACTTGCAAAGGTGAATGACGCTCATGTTTTTACACTTTCAACTAGAATTTATCTAATCATTATAAATGATGAGGACATTTCCCGCCTTTTAAAGTTTTGTGCAATACTCAATGTCAGTGCAGTAAATAGCAATTTACCTGTCAGAGTCATACAGCAGGTATTCATCCCATGTCAGGCCAGTTTTTGGTGGTGGATGAAGTGAATTTCGCCGTGAAGTCTGAAAAATATAGTTTAAAAAATGCATGTTTTAACATAAGTATTAGAGGCACTATCAGGAAATTGTAATTTCTCTCACCTCTGGGAGACTGTCCATAATATTTCCACTTCCTTTACTTAGAGTGTCAATGAGGGCCTGTTGACGAAAGATGGATTTTGAACAAACTTAATCATTGCCATTGTTGTGTAGTTTTAGCATCGCAACAGTAACTGTGCGCTATAAAATTACGTATTTTGCATTGTTAATATCTATTTGAAACTACTAACAAAAAAAAAAAA